GATAACTATATACACATTTATTTACATTAACTTAAGTCCCCTGATTGTCCTGGCCTGGTTCTATAGGGACCGAGGGAAAATGAGCAGGCTGCAGTTCCCCTAGAGCACACCTGCCAGCTAACAATCCCCCTCAACTGGAGAAGGGGAGTATATACCCAAGTTACCTGGGCTACAAGATGTTCCAAATCCTTTCAAGAAAAAAGCTTATTGGTGTTGAATACAATAAAAAGCAGCAGTGAATTGCTGATTTTTATGACTCAGCTGGAGAAAAGAAATAAGAGTTGAGGAGGTGACAGCTAGCAAGAAAGTTTAACAGCTCCTGTAGCTCTCAAGTTTTCTGAACCCACTAATGCACGACCCCTGAAGTGTATTTTGCTTACATTTGTTATTATATTTGAGCAGTATAAAGAACAGAGCACTGAACTGGTACATAGGACAACCAGGGTCCATTTCAGGTTAGCCTGAGAAATGACCCTGAGTAAGTCAGTCACTCTCCCCTCTGTACAACAGTATCCTTATCTGTAACATGACAATGACCTTTGTAAAATTATTAGAGTTGTAATAATGAAGAGGTGCCATGTAATACTGCAGGTAGAATTCTAACTAATTAATTACCTTTGATTGACAAAGGCCTTAATTGAAGATGGGAGAAACACTACCATTAAATTGAACAAGCAAAAGTCAACAAAGAAAAAAAATTCTTCATTTCAGTCATGTGTGTGATGGCCAGAACCAGAGGGATTAATAAGCAATAAATATGTGCTTCTTGGAGGCATTTGGGATTTTTGCCTAATATAAAGCTTGTAAGTTTGTAACATGCAAATGTAACTTGTCTGTCATAAGTTTAACCAAAATGATAAAACTAACTGTTCATGGAACTGACTGGGCCCCAAAGGCAAAGCTGTAGCTGCAAGATTAGCTGACCTAACGGTTTTTGCTCAGGGTTCAGCCTTGACAATAAAAACTGGATCCAACCACCTGGCACACCCAACACATTCCAGGAAAGCATGTCCCAAGAAAGCATATTCAGAAAAACCTAAAAGGGGTTGGGCTTAGGTGGAGTAATATCAATTTCTAACCTAAAGGTGCTGCACTGTAATTTGCTTATTGGATAAACCCGAGTCTAGGTAGTAACCTTTTATGATAATTTTTAACACCTTTCAATCCCGTAGGGTAACAGCGATAGGGCAAGATTGTGAGTGGCTCTAAAGCCAGCAGATTAGCATAAGACTAGGTATAAAAAGCGCATGCATCAGGTGACCAGCAGAAAGGAGGCGAACAGAATGGTCACTGCTGTTCCAGCCCAGACTCTGGACTCCTGGTGTGAGTGAGGATCAGATCCTGATCAAGAGACCTTCCCTAGTAATCCCTCCAACAGCGTCAATCAGGGGTGCCTGACTTCACTGGAATCACTTGGCATCGAGGGACTATCGATAAGTTGCCAACCCATGTCTGTCTATCTGTTGTTTTGAACAGCCCAGTGGCTGATACCCTCACAGTGCTCAGTTGGCCTGTGACAGAATAGATCCATCTGTTGTTATTATTTACTATTAGCTCTTTAATACTGCATTATCTTCTTATTGCATTTATCTTTCTGTTAACTGTTGTGTGTGTAAAGTTATAATTAATTTGCCTTTGCTTCACTCCCAACTTTGCCGCCTCAATCCAAAACTGAACCGAGCAGCCCAGTGGCTGAAACCCTCGCCCTGTTGGCCAGCAATAGAACTGATACACTCACAGTGCCCAGCTGGCCTGTGACACATGTGGCCTCAAAGAATCACATTAAGCAAACATGCATTTTCTATATTTCCCTATTTGTTTTGTTTTGATTTGGTTTTGGGGAGACAGTTCCATTTGCTTGTTGCTTTTAGAAATGGAGTAGTTAAAAGTTAACAAAAACGATAAACTAACTCATTTCTGAGTGAGACATCAGCTTCCCAGCATGACAGTTCAAATGTGGAGTCAGCACATTCAGTTCAGAGTAAATGCCACACATGTGAACAGTGGAGATTCCCAAATACTTTGTTTCAATTAGACTGTAAAGTAAAGCAATTCCATCCCACATGGCAGCAGCATCTCACTTTCATTTTATTTCTTCACATTTATAAGTTGCCTACATCATGAGCACTAGATGCATCACAGAATTCCTCCAACACAAACACTTTAGTAAAATCATCTTATAAATCTCTTAAAAACATACTACCTCAAAAAAAATCCAGCCAACTTTAAAAAACAACCTACATTCCAACCTCTTTCAAACACATTCCCTTCATCTTCCATAAAAAGTTCTGCAAAAGTAGATGAGTTCTCACAAAACCTGGACAAAAATCAAAGGGTCTCGTGGACCAGGTTATAGTGGCAGGAGGGAAGCAATTTTCAGAGTCAAGGATTCTTTACCAAAAATTCCCAGCACCTTCCCCAACTAAGCTAGAGGGCTGTTAAGTGGAACTGCTCTAGAAACACTTAGGAAAGCACTCTCTGTTTGCTAGCACCCAACCTGTTTAAAGGTTTCATAGCCCAAACACTGAACACTTTAAAACATTACATGAAGCAGATATTAAAAATAAATAAATAAAAATCTTTTAGGCTTAGATGCTTGAATTAGGCTGTAGAATAATGAGCCCATTTTATCTGGGCCTCAAAACATAGGACTCTGTTAGCAAACCAAATTCTTCCTCCATACCTTGCCATAGTGTCTGATTTGGATTCTACCAACATCTCACTCCTGACATCCCAATGTCAACTCTTACATGGGTCACTGAATAGAATAAGTGTTTCTAGAACACCATTGTACCTGTGGTTGTGGCAAACACCAAGAGAAGAATTGCTTTCTCCTTATAACACACATAGGTAAGTGAATCTGAACTTGACATTTGGTAAAAAAGAACTATTATTGTTATCTCTTTGGGCTTTGCATACTCGGTAAAGGCACAGAAGAGTGGGAGAGGGAGAGAAAGAGAAAGGTTTCCACCATAGCTGGAGTAAGTTTTCAGTGCTATGCGTGCCTTTCCCATTCGAGAAGGTAGCTTACAGCAACCACAGCCTCAGTGTGGCTGTTTGAACCATATGCCTTTGGCGTATCACAGTCCACTTGTATCCCACACCAAGAAGGTTCTTAGGTCCTGATGCCCTTCTTTAACTTCCTCCTGTGCAGAGCCAAATGGAGGGCTTTGAAGAGCGTGTCCTTGTTATTCAGAACGTTGTAGCGGTTCACTCCCACCAGCCTATCAAAATCATACGGCTCAAAGGTAAAGTTTAGTGTACGATAGGGAGAGTCTTTATTCTCAATGACAAAGTCACCAAAGGATCTCTCATCTTCTGACTCCCGTTCTATTCCTGTAACAAGAGAAAAAATGAATTCTGAAGGTTTTCCTCACACCTTTTAATGGGATACAGCAGAGAAAGTCACAGAATAACTAAACATGTATTGAATCTGGCTCATTCTTCTGGCTAGTTTTGCCTCTCCTTAGCTGACAGTGTCAAGTTACTAAACTGTTACAGAAAATAGTAAGGCAGACAAGATTCTTTGGGTAGATGTAATATCTTTTATTAGAACAACTAAATAGTTGGAAAAATTGTACTTTGCAAGCTTTCAGGCACAAACATCCTACTTCAGGCACAGAGAGAGTCCCCTGGTGAACTGTGTGCACTCTTGGGTAGAATAGGAGCCAATATGTAAAATGCAGGTCTGTGAAAATGCAAATGCATGGCAGTGAGGATCAGAAGGATGGGAGACAATAGGTGAGAGACAGGTGGGAGGTGGGGACTGGTGCACTAACGCTGGAAGAATGTAGGCGGTAAATTGCAGACAGGTTACCTGAAGTTTGGATTTATGGCACATTATAACCTATGTCTATATTTAGTCCATGATTTTTTTGTATCCAGTAGATTTATGAAGTTCATAGTCTCATCTATAAAAGATGTTTTGTAAATTCCCTTTGAGGATTAGAACCAAGAGATCGGAGAGAGAGTGGTTGTCTTGTGCACCCACAGGTAACTGGGTATTTTTGTCCTTGATAGATTTCCAGTGTGCATTTATTCTGGTATGCAGTTGTTGTTTGCTTTCTCCTACATAATTTCCATCAAGGCATTTGGTCCACTGGATGAGATGTATTGTATTTCTGGAGGTGCAGATGTAAGATCCAGGAATGGTGATGGTTCTGTTGTGGGGTGTAGTTATTCTGGGAGCCGTGGAGATGTGTTGGCAGGTTTTACATTTCTTGTCCTGGCATGGTCTGGATCCATTTGGTGTGCTTTGGGCCATAAGAAGTTTGCTTCTGGTGATGAGGTTGGCGAGAGTCATCAGTGATTGTTTAAAGGCTAGAATGGGTGGTTCTGGAAAGACCTCTTTAAGAACTGGGTCTTCTTCTAGTATGGGTCAGAATTGTTTGATGATTTTCTATTTAGGTTCCAGGGAAGGATGGTAAGTCATAACTAATTGTGTGCAATTCATGAGGCTTTTCTTTTTGTACTGCAGCAATTCTTCATGTGGCAACCAGGTGGCTCTCTCAAAAGTATAATCTCTCTCTCTGGAGGGTGTCCTTGTTGGGGGAAAGCCCTTTTGAGATTTGTGAGGTGACAACCGTGGGTATTCTCCTCAATGCAAATTCAATGTATGGAAGAGCTTGGCTATAAATTACAGCTTTTTTGGTGTGTTTAGGGTGATTGCTGGTTCTGTCTCACACCTATTGTCTCCCAACCCTCTGATCCTCATTGCCATGCATTTGCATTTTCACAGACCTGCATTTTACATATTGGCTCCTATTCTACCCAGGAGAGTACACAATTCACCAGCAGACTCTTTCTACGCCTGAAGAAGGATTTTTGTGCCTGAAAGCTTGCAAAGAACAATTTTTCTAACTATATAGTTGTTCTAATAAAAGACATTACATCTACCCAAAGAACCTTGTCTGCCTATGTCCTTAGATGGACATAGCCAACACAGCTACAACCAACAACCCTAAAGCATAACTGAGGTAGTAACATATTTGCTTTTTAAAAACATAGTAATTAAAGTGTTAACACCCCAGCAGTAAATCCAAGAGACCCTATTGAAAGTAGTGTGTAAGAGACATGTTAGTAACCATGTGTCAGAAGGAAAAAAAGAGACAACTTATACCCTAGTGGGCAGGGGTCCTTAGATATGTTTAAAAGAGAGCCCCATATTTTCTATGCTCTCTAAACTTGATTTTAAAATGGATTTTAGAGGCCTAGTAGACAAGAGGTATTTGTATTCTCAAGTGGAAAATGGCTCTGAAACTGTAAATTACAAGGTTTGGGGCAAAAGTTAAGAGATTACTTCAGTCCTCATAATGCAAATACAAGTACCATTACGCCACCAAATGAAAAATTTTAAACCATAAGGATTAGGTCACTGCTAACCATCATACAAGGCAAAAATATTCCATGGGGCAGCCACTAGCTCACAGATAAACAAGTAAGTATCTAGCTAAATTCTTCCACCGCTTAACCAGCTTTTAAGACAGATAACAACATTGATGTTGTTCTGGCTATAAGAAAATAGCAGTTTAATAAGTTAAAGGAAACTAACAATGGAAAAGATTCGAGCTGTTACAGTTAGAAATGTCCAGGCAGTCCCAACACTCTGTCTAGCTAAGCATACCTGAATGCTGCAAGGAATCTGCACACACCCACCCTTACCTGGTGCTTTGCATTTCCGGAACGTGTCATTCACCAATGGAAAGTGAAGCACTATGGGAGCCTTTGGGTCCTCATCATCCATAAACATATAACACTCCTTTGGCTTCTTTTCGTCTTCCTTACTCAAGATGATTTTTGGAAAGGGGATGTCCCGTTCTTCACAGTATTTCTGAGTCAAATTCAAGACCTATGATCAGAAAACAAATGTCAAGAGTTATTTCAGTTATGCCTAACCATAATGCTTAGAGGGAGAGCATTAGATAAAAATTTCAGCCTCCTAGCCAGCAATGCTATTAAGTGCTAAAGAGCAAGGGTGCAGGGGGAGGGCTGGAAAGGAACATGCACAAGGAACAGGGAAGAAGACTGAGTGGCAGAGCGGGACAGCGCAGAATATGGAGAGTTACTGCTGGTGTCACCTCTAAGACGGGCAGCCACAATCAGGGCTGGTGCCCCACTGATCCAGCCCTAGTTACACTACTGTTTCTGACACAAAACAATAGCAAAAGCATTAAAAACCAATCTGTTCAGTGAGTTGTGTGCTCACTGCAATAGGACTTGACCACTAAATGCTATGGAAACAAGTTTACACTGAAAAGCTAACTACTCCAGCATCAAAGTGACATACAGTTGGAGTAGACATACGACACACACACAGTGGAATAACTTTTTCTAGAATAAATATACATCTTGCCTCCTCAGAAGTAACTTTATATTGGAGAACAGAATTTTCTCTGGCATAAGTGCTACGTGTCATGCGTTATCTCCAGAGGAAATTGACAACAGCCCAGAACAAATGCAATGTATGCCTGCACCCTGTTTACTGCCTTCCTATCTGATTTTTGGGTCGGTTTCCCCAGATTATTTCTGTCCCAAACACAGATTGGGAATATGTTTCATTCCCAACATCTGTCTAAACAGATAAAAGGGTTAAAATAAGAAATGAATGATGTGGGAAAAGATTAATTTAGTTTTCTTGAGGAAAAAGAACAAAGAACAAACAAAAACCAAAATATGGCATAACATTTGAGGCAGAGAAATATGCAAATAAGCAATTTGCAAAAATTCAGACTAATCTTGTGTTTTCTTGCTTCACAACTCAAAAACCCTCCCTGGTTAAAAGAACCTCATTAGCCTTGTTCCCAGAATGAATTAATTAGTAAGCTAGCTCTGTACATTGCCTGAATAGGGGAATACAATATTTATATTGTATATATACATTTTATACAATATTTATATAGTGAAATTCTAGCCCTTATTCCAGCCCTCTGAGGAATTTTAAACCATTGGCTGCCTATCCACATGCTTGGGGATGGAGGAAGTGTTTTAATTAGAGCGGTTCCCAGAGAGCCACTCTAATTAAAATGCCTCGCCGTTCCATGTATTATGCTCCCAAGGGCTTAAAATGGCTGCAGAATGCTTATCTAAACCTCGTTTAGATTTGTGACGTTCCAAATGTGGAGTTATGCTGTAGTATGAATTTCACAGTGAAGTGTGTGATGTGACAGTTGAAGATCTAAGTGACCACAGACTTGCTAAAATATGTATTTTCTCCATAAAAGAGCATATGTCAAAACATCTATGACTGCTTCATGTAACCATTACTAATATACGGTCCCATGCTTTTCCCCTTGTCTAACTGGGCTCAGATCTCACCTCAAATGGAGCTTCCCAAGAATAGTTGAATGAAACAATAACATCTACATCACGCTCTGACTGGAGCACCAATGGAAAGGGAGAGTTTATAGAAAAGCCACCATCTACCAAATACAGGCTGTCTTCCATGGGAGTCAGCTGGTTGGGGAAGGCGTCCAGATGAGTGCCTGAAATGTACCCAAGAAGTCACATTAGTTACCAAAACACTTCTAGTTACCCTTCACACCTAAACAAGCAAAGCATCAGCCACTGAAACGTTTAGAAAATTATTTAATACACATACTATAGTCCCACATCAAAATCAGGTCTGCCTTCTGGATATCCAGGAAGCAAAGCAGAAAGCAGATGTCTACCACCTGCTACTTCATATCAGACAAATTCTCAGACTAACTGAGTCAAATCCTCTATTGCAGTATAAATAGGCAGCACTCCACTGATTTCAGTGAAGCTGAACCAAAATTACACTAGCAGGAAATTCTCCCCATGTAGTAAAGTAACACATGATTTTAAAATACTCACTGAATATTCAAAACACAGCCCAATTTCTTTCATGAATAGCTACCTTTCCAGGCCACAAACTTCTTGATGTTGACATAATCCCTGTGAAGATACAGCCCTTGCATGAAGTTGAAGGTTTCACCACTAGTGAAACGGGACTTGAAGAAATCCTGAAAAATTTGTAGCAAGGGTCCCCCTGGTATAACTAGACGAGTCTTTAACCGTGTTGGGTCCCGAAAATGGGATCTGCGGCTGTCATCTAGGAAGAACACAGAAATTATCAGAATATATTTCAAATCATACTTATCCAAATCCAACATTAAGAAGCAAATCTATTCACCTACAAAAGTTTAATCTATTGATGGAAGTCTTTTCCCGCTCCCCCATCTCTGGCCTCCACCCAAAACATCTGGGCACAATAGAATGAAGTCCAATCTACTTAATTACATATTCAAGTTTCATAATATGCTTATCTCATTTAGATTGACCTGCATGAGTCATGCAATAATTTCTAACTCATTTCAGTGAAACCTTTGCCACCTTGTGATCTTATGGATTCTATTGCACAAGGAGACAATGGTCACCATGAAACATTCAGAATTCACTATGATGCTCTTATACCTGCATTGGGAAGTAGTATGGTAAAATCTACAAACACAGAGAAAGAACGTCTACCTATGGGACTTATATGGCCCCTATCATCAGGGTAAATGAACAACTGACAATTGTTAATTAATTTATTCTCTTGGCACCCTCTGGGAAATTTTACATGTGGAGGAACTAAAGGCACAGGGAGACAAAATGATTCAAGAGCTGTACACAATATCCACAGCTTAGTAAGGGAATGAAGCTAGGTCTTCCAAATGGCACTGGAGCATTCTTCTTGTCCTTTCAGTTAAGACATTGGACTGGAATTCAGGAGATCTGGTTCAATTCCCAGATCTACTACAAACTTTGTGTGACCTTGGACAGGTCACCTAACCTCTCTGCACTTCTGAATCTCAGGTCCCCATCTGTAAAACTAAAACCATGAGTAATATGTTCCTACCTCAAAGCGGCATTGCCAAAGCTTATAGTCACAGTGTCACCTTTAAGAACAAATATTAAACAAGAGAGAGAGAACACAGGTATTGAATAATCATTGTAAACCATAAGGGAAAAAAGGAAAAGGTGGTGGCCCAATGAGACATGGTAAGGCATAGGAGAAAGAAATGAAGCAGTATGGAACAACATGTCAGTTTTAGAAAGAAGAGAGGCTGATAAAGGAGCGGGGACACTTCCTTGTATGTTCTGTGTGCTACACAGTATGAAGGACAATAAGTAGTGCATGTCCTTCCAAAAGATGCTCAATGATAGGAGACAGTGGGACTCAGGTGGTTTTAACTATCCAGCTCCACCACCCCTACTCTTCCCTTGAAAACTATAAAGGACTTTTTCAATTTTGATACATGAATGTCATGTGATTTTGCTGAAAAATCAAGACCTCCGGAAGCAGCTACTGCACAGGTATTTGGACTTTCTTACCTATGACTTTGATGACATCTTTCAGAGGCTCTAGAAAGCTAAGGCCCATGCCAATTACTTTCAGACAAATATCATCTAGGCTTGCAGCAAAGGCACTTCCCCACATTCCTGCAGAGAGAAGGAGGGGTGAGGGCAAGAGAAACAAGGAAGCGTTGATACCATGCAGGACAGCTCCTCCAGGCCCTCACAGCACGTGCGCGCATTCCACTACACGGCAACCTTCAAAAACATCTTTCTATAATAAACACACAAGCAGCTAAGGTTACCAATAGCACCTGATCTAAAACCATAAATTGAGGTTTTGAGATTTTTGTGGAAACTAGAAAAAACAACGGTTTCCACAATCACCATGAAAAATGGTGTTTTCTGCGACTGTGTGTGGAGTCACCCCCCCCCCCC